TTTCCAAAAAACCCCAAGAAAAAGGGTTTTTTTTTTTTTTTTTTTTTTAAAAAAAAAGTATGCTCAAATCCCCATTTTCCTAAGGGGCACAAGCAGAAACCGAAGGCCACATGTGAAGCACGGAACTGTCTGGGGTCTCTCTTCAAGGGCAGGGCCGAGTGCAGTGGGGAAACGGGGCTTCGGGGGGCGGGGGGAGAAACGCTACCAACCAACTGCCTACCCCGGGCGGCTGGTAAACAGTCTCACCACACGTGGAGGACAAAGGAAAAGAAAAAATAGGCAGCACAAAGACATCTTTAAGGGGCAATTAGAATTAATCAACAGACCTTGAGGTGTGAAACTTTTTTTTTTCCTTAGAAATCAAATTTTGCCAAAGCCTCCTGACAGGGTGAATGCTCCCAGCCACCCGTACTGGGCCTGGGCCTCCCTGGTCTGCATTGGTGCAAACCTCTGTGCATTGGCTAAACCTCCTCCTGGACCCCCTCAGCAGCTGGCCACCCTAGTGTGCGGTGGGGACGAGCCTGCCTCAGGTCACAGTGCCTGCCTGGTCCTGGGCAGGAGGCTGGCACGCACAGCTGAGGGAGGAGCCGGTGCCCTGGAGGTGTGCAACACCTAGGGGTGTGCTGTCCCCGGAGGGCCAGGCAGCGCCAGCTGCCTCAGGGGCGCCATCTCAAGGGCTTGGAATATTGCCAGGAGGTCCTGGCCACTTCTGAATAGCTGGTGACAACCAAAAAGTGTCACACTGCAGGGATAATGACAAAAGAAGTCTACTTCATCGGGGTCCGGGAAGACCTGCGAGCACAAGGGGGAAACAGACCCTAATGCTTCTTACACACACCAAGCCTGTCACTGGTTTTGTGTGCATCTGTCATCCCTCCTAGAATGACATGAGAAACACGCGAGGAAGGGGTGACGTGTTCACGGGGTGGGTGTAACGGGAACCTGGGCATTGGTGACGGCTGGGAGGTTCTGGGTATCCATCCGTGCTGCCTGGTCCATCCTGGCACACCCTCCTGTGCCCAGCCAGGGGCCCGGATGCCGTCCTGCCTGTGGACACGCAGACACGTCACTGTGTAGGCACAGAAGGCCTGACTACCTGCAGCTGGATGCTGGTTGTGCTCCCTCAAAAGAAAAGGCAGGCAGAGTGTCAGATCTCATTGGGAAACACTCCTTCAAGCCGTTAGAATACTTGACACGTCCCAACTGTCGCCTGTACTCTGGGGCCACCCCTTTCGCTGTAACACCTGAGGAGGGCCAGCCCCCGCCGGGAGGTCTCGGCAGTCACAAGTCAGGGCTGCGGCTGGGCCTGGGCCCCCGTTCCCGTCCGGACACTCGAGCCAATCTGTTCCTTCCTGGAGGGCTGGACACGGAGAGCACTGGGCGCCCAGCGTGGGAGACCGTGCACGCAGGGCAGCAGGAAGCAGCTGGGGCCCAGAGGCTGTGGCCTCGGGGGACAGGTATGGGGTCAGCAGAAGATCTCTTCGCCCTCTGCCGAGACTTCTGAGGCAGGACCATCTGGAAAAGGGAGACCAGAAATGAAAAAGACGTCCAGAAAAACCACCTTTTCTTTCTATCTCCTTCCGTCCTCCCCAAGTGAGGGTCCCCGGGATGCAGACAGGTGACTGGGGTGTGCGGGCAACTACCTTTCTGTGCACTGGAGTTCCTGAGTTAATCTGGTAAATGGGGTCCCTAGTGGTATAACCACAATCCAATGTTCCCTCTTACTTCTGAATAAGCACTAGAATTTACAAGCAGGCCCATAAAATGCAAAGATCTCTAACCTCCCCATGTAGAAGAGATCGACTGTGAAAAAGGGGGAGAGCGTTCGGGGAGAAATGGCACGAGAAGGAATGGGGAGGCATCTCGAGGTAGCCACAGGCTTTGGGGCTGCGTGTAGCTTAATCGGCCTCGGCGTGGGTTCCCTCATTTCTTTCAGGGTATTTGCCTAGACGTGCAGTTACCTGAAGGTTAAACTGCCTGATGTGAGCTACTGTTCTCCATTGCTGGCCCAGGCCTAGAAGACAGGGAGGACTGGAGTGACTCCTGTTAAGCGAGCTCCAGTGCATTAATAGAGTATCGGCTGAAAAAGGAAACCTGCTCTCCCTTGCTCATGGGTCTGGGGACAGGATGACGGCAAAGGCCTTCCCATCTCTGAAGCGCACTCTTTTCGAACACCTCGTGCCTGTGCAACCTCCCCCACCCCGTTCAGAATGCACAGGTGCCGTGGCCCGGGGGAGACTGGGTGTGCAGGACTCACCGCCGGTCTGAGGGCGGCTCCCTTTGCTCTTCTTCTTCTTCTCCTTCTCCTTCTTCTCCTTTGGCTTTGCCAGCCCAAACAGGCGGGTGGAGGTGGAGGTGGGGGCGGGCACGGGGGGCCCCTCGAGGCCTTTGTTTGTCTGGCTGGTTGAACTCAGTATGTGAAAAGGCCCCTTGTCTTTGTGTGTCCGTGAGATGCTGTTCCTTTTTGGGGTCACTGAGAGTTCTGAGTCCGGTGGCCCGGATTTGGCTACTGAAGGAGCAGATGGCAAGGGGGACTCCTCAGGATTGGGCAGGAAGGATGGGATCCTCATGAGCCGGGCGTGCTGAGGTGAGACCTGCACGCAGTGGAGAGACGGGGTTAGTGTGC